AACATTTCTTGAAAGGCTACACAACTAAAGAAGGCAATCAGCAGTTACCATAATGTGTCAGGTCCTTTATATCAAAAATAGAGTTTAATTTATACTCTGTACGATTGTTTTAGTGAAACATGTTTTGACTATGACTTACCATTTAACTTCTTATATGATGTTTTAAACAGCAAGATAATTTTGTTAATAAAGGAAGCTTTAAGGTAAAGTTTCAATATGAATTTAAATATTAAACTGATTAACAATTAAAACTTGAGAGTTTAATACTATAGATTTCATATGAAACTGAAAGCTTAATTAATGGAATGATTATTATTTAAAAAGATTTAAAACTTTCTTAAAGATGTTAAGGTTAAACACTCGTGTTTAGGCTACAAATGTATAACAGCATACATGTTATATGTTAAATATTTTAGCTATGTCTTCTTATTCAGTGCTTAACTAATTACCATCTTCATCATTTCATCTTCATGTTTTTTGAATTCTCTGATCTCATCTTTTAGACAAGTTGCATCCTGTAAACCAGCCTTCATACCCGAAAGTGTTAGATCAAGTCGTCCTTTTTCCTTTACTGGAAACAAAACCAGAACTTACTTTAATAAAAAAATGTTTTTGTTAAACAAGAGAGCCAATGAAGCAGATACAAAAATACATATTAAAACAACAACTATTTTGGATATTCACACAATCACAAGTCTGCTATTATGTGAAATAACCTCTAAAAATCAGAGGAGTATTATCAAAGTATACAAATACCTATCTTCAAATTTCAAAATGCTAATTCATGTTAATACTTTGCAATATTCTACATCATATCAGCTAAAATCTTGATCAAGTTTTCCTTTTTTCTTAATACAAAAAAACTAATTTTGATGAACTATATGCTAAACCACATTATTCATTTTCCCCTCCTCAAACACTATATATTCATAAGTTACACTCAGCTTTTACTGTTAATGTTTTAAGTTAATGATATTTTGAACCTGGAAAACTAGCTGTGTGTTATAAGCCATTTTAATAACTAGCTTAAAGAGATGAAAAGTAAGGTTTATCAACATAACCCAGCACAATGACTAGACAAAGTAAGTCTAGGCTTGCCAACTATTTGAAGAACAATTCTGGAATATAAATGCCACACCTACTTGTCACATCCTCTCTCATAAATTGCTAACACTTCTCTGACATTATATACTATACTATTTATAACCAATAGAAAGTTTTAATTTATCAAACGATGTAGTATATTATGTAACTATTTCACCTTCAGGTCAGACATTTTTCTCAAGGGAATCACATCAACACATTTAACTGAATTTTTAAAGGATCTTATCACATAGTTAGAAGGCCAGAACAATTAAGATATTTAAAGAACATTGTTTCTTTGTACATATTAATATTTTGTGTTATTAGGTGCAGTATTTAATCAAATAAAAAATGATTTAGTGTAGTATTACTATTAGTATAAAACAATGGCTTTAAGTTTCATCAAAGTAAAGGAGACCCAAGTAAGAACTATACGGGTGTTCTTTATTTATTAATGTAATAATTAGAAACTTATAAGGTTAGATTAGTTAATGAAAAATAATAATTATAATAAAAATACTTTATAAAGTCTGGTAATTCGATATAGTAATGTTACAAACTTCATGTTTGCAGAGTGACATTAAAGTGTTTTTTATTTTAAAATTTAAAGAAGCTATGTTCTGTCCCAATGAATCCAGGAGGGTTGGCAAGCCTAGACATAACTCAACACAATGAATAAACTAAGTTGTATTGACATTAAAGTGTTTTTTATTTTAAAAGTTTAAAGAAGCTATGTTCTGTCCCAATGAATCCAGGAGGGTTGGGAAGCCGAGACATAACTCAACACAATGAATAAACTAAGTTGCATTGACATAACACAGTCTGATGAATATACAGTCTTATCAACATAACACAAGCCTGATGAATATACAGTCTCATCGACATAACACAGCCTGATGAATATACAATTAGGGCCCTGCAAATCAAAATTTTTTCAAATCGAATTACAATTCAAATCATCCCAAAATATTAGTATCAAACCAGCTGGGGCATATATAGATTAGAGGGTATATCAGCTGTGCACATATAACTTATAGGGTATATCGGCTGTTATATATAGATTACAGGGTATATCAGCTGTGCATATATAGATTATATGGTATATCAGATGGGGCATATATAGATTATAAGGTATATCAGATGGGGCATATATAGATTATACGGTATATCAGATGGGGCATATATAGATTATAAGGTATATCAGATGGGGCATATATAGATTATAGGGTATATCAGCTGTACATATATAGATTATAAGGTATATCGGCTGTGCATATATAGATTATAAGGTATATCGGCTGTGCATATATAGATTATAGGGTATATCGGCTGTGCATATATAGATTATAAGGTATATCGGCTGTGCATATATAGATTATAAGGTATATCGGCTGTGCATATATAGATTATAGGGTATATCGGCTGAGCATATATAGATTAGAGGGTATATCGGCTGTGTATATATAGATTATAGGGTATATCGGCTGTGCATATATAGATTATAGGGTATATCGGCTGTGCATATATAGATTAGAGGGTATATCAGATGGGGCATATATAGATTATAGGGTATATCGGCTGTGCATATATAGATTAGAGGGTATATCAGATGGGGCATATATAGATTATAAGATATATCAGATGGGGCATATATAGATTATAGGGTATATCGGCTGTACATGTATAGATTATAAGGTATATCAGATGGGGCATATATAAATTATAGGGTATATCAGATGGGGCATATATATAGATTATAGGGTATATCAGATGGGGCATATATAGATTACAGGGTATATCAGATGGGGCATATATAGATTATAAGGTATATCAGATGGGGCATATATAGATTATAGGGTACATCAGTTGGGCCATATATAGATTATAAGGTATATCAGATGGGGCATATATAGATTATAAGGTATATCAGATGGGGCATATATAGATTATAAGGTATATC